AATCTAAACTATTATAAATAAACTATGAAAAAAAAAACTTATATTGTATGACATTTCAAATGTTTGATTTATTCAATAAAGAAGACATTTAAAATATCTTCTTTATTAATAAATTGAACATTTGAAATGTTTCATTTATTTAATAAAGATTATTGAATAAATAAAACATTTTAAATGCTAATACAGCAACAACAGTAAAAAAAATAACTTTAAAATCTTACACAAAAATAATTTGATTATTGCCTTTATTCTTACAATAATAATATAGATGGTAGTAAAAAATGTTTTAAAGGGATCCCAAACTCCCGACACATGTTGTGTTCATATTAAAAATAATGTTAAAAAAAAAGGTTTGAACCAAATTTTTTTTCATTAAAAATAAATAATGAATGCATACCGTGAAAAACAAATGTTGTTGTTTTTGCCGAAGCTCTCCTTATCCATTTTTTTCAATAAAACGGAGTCTTCAAATTATGCGTCGCAATCTACAGACTTGGCAAATCCTTTGAAGCGCGTTTAATTCATAAAAGTTTTAGTATTTGACGTCACGGTACACTTTTAACAAAAGAAAAGTGTAATTAAACTAAGCTGCGTTTTTCTGCAGTAGTATTTTTTAAATATACAGCAAAACAAACTTATTTGTATTACTTTTCTAAACATCGCAAAAAAAAATGTGTAAAAAGAAAAAATGGTAAATTATTTTTATTTTATAGGAGCAACTTGTTTTTTACAGATATCTTAATAATTTTTCGATTTATATATCTTACTTATATTTCTTTTGTTTTTAAATTAAATAAAATATTAAAGCTTTACTTACGAATCTTATGATTTTCATACGAGTGTTTTACATTATAGCACGTTATGTATACGGTCTCTCGTTTTTGTGCAAAAGAGCGCAGTAATATACATTCTGAATCTTACTTATTTTTATTTGAACAATCGGAACTTTTTTCTAACTTCTCTGGTTACTTTTACGCTATGATATTTTTTCTTTTCCCGTCGAAAAAAAGTGTTAACAATTAATTTCATAAACTGACAGTATTAATTAGAGATATATGATAAACTGTTAACTTTTTTTATTATAAAAATTTTTTGATTACGCTGATTTATTTTGAATTGCTAAATTTGCTAAATTGGATACGGATAAAAAGGAAATATCATTTTATTTTACACTTGATTTTTGATAATGAAACTTTTAAAATGTCGGCAACTCTATACCAACTAGAACCTGTTAAGGTTATGAAAAAAAATTCAAGAATACACTAATCAATACAGTTGACAGTAGTATCAGATAAGCAAATTCGTGAAAGGATTTGTGAGATCTTGGTTTTGCATTAAAAATACAATTAATAACAACACAAGTCGGCATTATAAATTTTGAGTATTAGTTTACTGTTCAATATTTTATAACCATCAAATAAAAACATGAAGTTTGTATATTTTCGCCCGTTTTATACAACTAATATTTAAAAAAATACGGACAAATTATTTTTATATAACGCAATAATTAACACATTAATTAATGGCAATATTCAAGAAATGGTAATTTAAATTGTAAAAATGTCATAACGCGCGTTAAAAAACATATTATATTAGGTATTTCCCAATTTGTATCGTATTTGGCATTTGTCTCCTAACATGAATTTTTTTTTTGAAAAACACAACAAATACAAATTTTCAAGCAATTTTCTTTTCCAATTTTCATTTATTCAAAGAAAAGTTACTATTAAACTTTTATTTCTCTCATCTAAAAAAAGAACGAGTGACGCAAAAAAAAAAAAAAAAAAAAAAAAAAATTCTATACAACTCTTTTATTCATTCGAAGTTTAATTACGCGAAATTTTTCTTTCTCTTTTGTTCTACTCTTTTGAAAAGAGCGAGCGATGAAATAAAAATTTTTCTTTCTTAACATAAATTTTTACTTAGAGATAAAATTAAATTAGAAATAAAGCAACAATGAACAAAGCAACTAACAGATTAATCTGGGACTATTTTGATATTAATCAACATAAACAGCATTACCAACAGCAATTATCAAATAAACAACACAATATCGCATAATTTTAGGAGCTTTTTGTTTTTATTGCTTAATCGTTCTAAATAATAAGTAAATTTAGTTCAAGTTGATATTTCAATATTTACAGTTGCAATGTAATAAAGAAATGATGTTTAATGTTGAACTTTTTATTTAATTATTTATTTTTTACTTACATTTGTTATAAAAAACTTTTAAACCCCCGTCATTAAAATTATTTGTTTTAAATACATTTTAAAATGATTCAAACTAATTTTTTCGCTTGACTTCCCGAACTTAAATTGAGACGAAATATTATCTAACCAAATAAAAATGCTTTTACTAAGTTTATACGGGTAATTAGTGTAAAACATTTTTTTATCAGAATCTTGATTGAGATAATAAATATTCATAATTTATAAGCATTAAATATATAGCGCAATAACAATTTATAGCAACGAACCAGCACAAAATATTTAAGGTTTATAATATCTTTTTAAATATTGAAAGTAGAAAATAAAAAACTAAACAAATAACCAAAAAAACTTCGACTAAAAATAAATAAAAATATTTCCAGAGTTTCTTTTGTTAAAAGTCTAAGTGACGTCAAATACTAAAACTTTTATGAATTAAACGCGCTTCAAAAGAATTGCTAAAGTCTGTAGATTGCGACGCATAATTTAAAGACTCCAATTTATTGAAAAAAATGGAGAAGGCGAGCTTCGGCAAAAACAACATTTGTTTTTCACGGTACGCATTCATTATTAAATTTTATTCAAAAAAACTTGGTTCAAACCTTTTTTTTTAACATTATCTTTAATATGAACACAACATGTGTCGGGAGTTTGGGATCCCTTTAAGCATATTATTTAAATATTCACAAATATTTCATTATTTAAAAACACAAAACATTAAGTCACGGGAATCTCTTGAAATTTATTTCTTATAAGAAACCTTTTAAGATTCTTAAAAGATTAACAAATATAGCTTCTTTTTTTTATTTTTACAACTTAAAAAAATTAAAAGATAATCTCAAAACCTTTTTTAATTCTGTAAAAGAAACCATTTTTAAAAATGTTTCGCAACAAATTTAAAAGTATATACAAATGCGCAACTACGTTGGCCGAATATTGGTTACGGTATAAATGTAAGAACAGATTTTTATAGCAAAATATTAAGCCTAAACTACATAGGCTAAATGTTGGCCCAACGTAGTACGATAATTGCAAAAAACTGATTTGTAGAATTGCAATATTACGCCGAAAAAAGCATTGGTTAAATGTTGGCCCAATATAGTACGATACTTGCAATAAACCGATTTGCAGAATTAAAAATAATACGCCGGCTAAAAATATTGGCTAAATGTTGGCCCGACGGAATAAACTTGCCAATGTTAAAACTTACCTTGGGCCAATGTATGCTTGCTGTCTGGGATATATATATATATATATATATATATATATATATATATATATATATATATATATATATATATATATATATATATATATATATATATATATATATATATATATACATATATATATATATATATATACATATATATAAATATATATGTATATATATATATATATATACATATATATATATATATATATATATATATATGTATATATATATATATATATATATATATATATATATATATATATATATATATACATATATATATATATATACATATATATATATATATATATATATATATATATATACATATATATATATATATATATATATATATATATATATATATATATATATATATATATATATACATATATATATATATATATGTATATATATATATATATATATATATATATATATATATATATATATATATATATATATATATATATATATATATATATATATATATCATATATATATAGATATAAACACAGAAAAATTCAAACAAAAGAGACATACTTAAAATGTAAAATATCAGCTTCTAACAACTTCCCCCTATAACATTTCTAGGTTACGTTACGTATTGTAACGTAAACGAGATTCGTTACGTTACGTGCAAAATGTCCGTTATTTTTACGTAACCGAGACGTAAAATTTTACGTAACGATACGTAACATTGTAACGTAACGTTACGTGCAAAATGTCCGTTTTTTTTTACGTAACCGAGACGTAACATTTTACGTAACGATACGTAACATTGTAACGTAACGTTACGTGCAAAATGTCCGTTATTTTTACGTAACCGAGACGTAACATATAACGTATTGATACGTAACATTTTGACCTAATAATCACCTGCGGCGACTTTCAAATATTGCGCCATTTTAATTTATTAGTTGCAACCAATTGGTTGATTTATGCGTTTATTTTTAAAAGTGTTCATGTAATCATATGAGATTAGTTTATTTATTGTTAACATTCTTGACAAGACATACTCTTACAGCCTAAAGAATTTAGCTGGAAGGGTAAGCCTTATATATAGCGAGGAGTGGACCAACACTGGTAAAGTGAAGAAATTAGCAAATAAATAACAATCAATCTAAAAATAAAACATATTCTAAAATCACTTGATACTAACCGTAATCTTACCGTTAAACATATTGTTAGAATAATGAGTACTATATATCTGACAAACTTGACATTATATACACATTTTTGCTTGTGGGGTTATAAAAATACAAGTAGTGTTAAGCTGATTAAATAACAAAAATTTGTAAAAAAAATTGAAGTTAACGTTAATAATATTTCACCGTAACGTGAAAATTTTTAGAAAAAAAAAGATTAGAATAGCAAATATAATTGTTTTTAGATTTTACATATAAAATTTGTGTGAAATAGAGTTTGCAAACAAAGGGGGTCGTTCGCACCTAACAACCCTCCCCCCCTCCTCATATACATTTTTTATTTCATATAAAGTTTATTGATGACGTTCAGAAAAATGCTTTTAATTCAGAAGTTTATTATAAGGAAACAAATTAATAACATAGTAATATAATCTGTGTACATTTTTCATCTAATCACTGTCTTTGGTAAACGAAATATCATCGTTGCAAATATCATCAAAGGCGTTATTGTCAGAATTATCATTCCCAATAGATTCAGGTGCAATATTAGCCTTCTTTGGTGCTCGACTAGGTGTGCCTATTAGTCTATCTTCTGCCTTGACTGCTGCGCGTTTTGCATGCATTGGCATTCGTTTTAATTGATCCCCGAGCGCCTCTGACACCTTATGGGCGTTAATGCGTTTTTGCGATCTTAGCTGCAGAGAATCTATAAAATATAAAAATAATATCTACATCTTTAAAAAAATGGAATAAGTAAAAAAAAAGTTATGTATCCAATTATACAATTATTGAAATTACATTACTACAACAGTATAACTTTTTTTTGACAAAATAAATAAAAAATACAGCATGGCTAGGTTATAGATAAAGAAGTCAATCCCTTTTACCTGTTATGATAGGAAGAATACTTGGGCTAAAACTCCTTTTCACTCTTTTCCTATCCCGGCTATATAAAGACCAAACTGAGCTGGGTGCCAGGGCCAACAACATATTAGAAAGCTTGCCAGAGAGATTTTGTGATGCAAGTGTCACACTTGGACAAAGATGCAATCTTTAACTTAAATACATAGGCACAATAGCAGTTTAAATTGGAAATAGAAAAAACTAACTGCATACATTTAGCTAAAACTATAGCTTTAAGTAAAGATTATTTTAAATTAAAGTTACCAAGGACTGACGTTCACAATCATTTAGGTCCAGCCAATAAGTCAGGTGACTATCCAGCTCGTCTGCTGTTGTGCTGAATTTTAAAGCTTCCACCGGCGCATTAACAGCAGATTTGGTGTTGCTTAGACCAACCACCATGCCCGTTAGGGTTTTTTGGGTGTCTTCAATCCGAATGAGAATGGTGAATATTTCTTGAAACCACGCTACAATAAACAAATAAAATCATATTAAATTTAGGGACTTCTTCAGTATAAAAATAACAGATTAGGAAAAAAACATTGTGGTTAATGCTAACTAACCACTGTTGTGGTTAATGCTAAATTAATGTCTTCCTCCAACAAATTGTCGCTGCTAGAAATAATTTCACTCATTAAACAAGTCATTGGCTGCGCTAAAGTATTGTTCGAAAATATTCTGTTGTACTTTTTTAATAATTTTCGACGTTTTCTTTTTGTGGAAGGATCCATTCTAAATTGTAGCTATAATATATATATATATATATATATATATATATATATATATATATATATATATATATATATATATATATATATATATATATATATATATATATATATATATATATATATATATATATATATATACCTCTGCAAATTTTTTAGGTGTGAACTTTGATGAAAATTTATCATGGAAAATACATATAAATTCTATAGAAAAAAAAATCTCATAAAACATTGGAATGATCTATAGAGTTAGGCCAATTTTAAGTTTTATTTCCATAAAAAATTTATATTTTATACATAGTTACTTAACTTACGGCAAAATCATATGCGCAAATACTAACCACACTAAGCTAAAAAAAACTTTATAGCAAACAAAAATATGCCGTTAGAATCATATTTGGAGTTGGAAGAGCAATTCCTTCTGAACCTCTTTTACGCAAAATTGGTGCCTTGAATATTTTCAAACTTAATATCCATCTTGTTCTACCGTTTATATTTAAAACAAAATATGGACTGTCCCCAAAAATTTTTACTTATTTTAAAGAAATACACCATAAATATGCTACAAGATTTTCCGCAAATCACTTTACTATTCCTAAATCTCATTTTAAACAGAACTCTTATTCAATTCAGAATCGCGGACCACTTTTGTGGAAAAGACTCCCAAACATTGTTTCCGAAAAAAAAACTTTTCTACATCAGTTCAAAACTGATTCAAAACAGTTTTTATTAAACACAGATTTTGATTTATTTTATTATAAGTTTTATTTTTAAAATAAATCAGATATATCAAATAAAAATAAAAACAAGGTAACTGTTCCTTGTAATCATTATAAAAAAAGTTAAAAATTTACTGACAATAACCATTATTACAAATCACATTTTCTCGCTTTTTTATTTTTTGTGTGCATATATTTATACTCATGTATGTGTATATTTGTACTTGTTTATGTGTGTATGTGTATGTGTGCGTATGTGTGTGTATGTATGTATATATATGTATATATGTATATGTATATATATATATATATATATATATATATATATATATATTTTTTTTTATATATATATATATATATATATATATTTATATATATATATATATATATATATATATATATATATATATATATATATATATATATATATATATATATATATATATATATATATATATATATATATATATATAAAGAAATATTTGTTAATATTTAAATAATATGCTTAAAACATTTTTTACTACCATCTAAGTTATTAATGTAAGAATAAAGGCAATAATCAAATTATTTTTGTGTAAGATTTTAAAGTTATTTTTTTACTGTTATTGCTGTATTGGCATTTAAAATGTTTGATTTATTTAATAATCTTTATTAAATAAATAAAACATTTCAAATGTTCGATTTATTAATAAAGAAGACATTTTAAGTGTCTTCTTTATTGAATAAATCAAACATTTGAAATGTCATACAATATAAGTTTTTTTTTTTCATAATTTATTTATAATAGTTTAGATTATATAGCTATTATAAGATATTTTATTAAAGGTATCAATAATTCTTGAGGTCACAATCGCGTCACAAAACGAATAACCATCGTTGTAAGGGGAAAACATTGAACAAAACGCGTAATTATCACGTTTTGTTCATTGTTTTAATTTTAATGCCGGGTTAATGCATTAAACAAAACGCGCTAATAACGCATTTTGTTCAATGTTTTTTCCTAACACGGTAAGACGGTATCTCGTTTTGTGACGCGATCACGACCTCAAGGATATATATGAGGCATTGAACCCCTATAATATTTTAAAGTTACGTTACGTCTCAATCGGTTACAATTGGTAACAAGGTTACATCCTCTATTTTTTATTCAACTATTAAGTAAATAAACTTGAAAATGCAGTAAATGTTTGTTCATCATTGCCGTATTGCTAAATACTATCTTTTATTTTATTTTTATTGTAAAATAGCTTCGTCTCAATTCGTTACTTTGTTACGAAAAAACAAAAAGTCTCAATTCGTAACATTACGTCTTAATTGGTTTTTTTTTTAAACTTTTTAAAGAGTAATTAGTTGAGATGTTACGTAACGTAACAAAATCTGGATTTGAGACGTAACTAAAATACGTCTCAAACATAAATTTTTTTAACGTTACGTTACGTCTAAATTCGTTACACTCTTACAAGTAAAAAATAAACGTAAGGTAACGTAAAAAAAAATTATATTTGTGACGTGTTATTATTGAGGAATAATTTTTTATTTTTATACGTAACAAGTCGTTTCCATGGGTTACTGTAATAATATTTAAAATAAGGAATTAGATTGCTTGTGTATATTTTTTTTAAAAAAAGACTGCATTGAGTTCAATGCATTTACAACTGTTAATAAAAAGAATTTGTTAAATAAGGTAAATCATTAATGAAATATGGTATTCAACAATGCGTTCATCGAGACATTAGTAACTAAAAAAAGTTTCAGAAAAATATTTTTTAGTTAAAAAATTCAATTCGCAAAGTTGCAATTCATTAATTACAACCTCGCGAACCGAAAAGTTTTTTCGTGAAAAATTTGTTATAAAAAAAATTAGAAGTAATTTTTTGCACACTGATAAAAGTTAAAATAAATACCAGTAAGGCTTTTTTTTAACTTATATAGACGTATTTTAATTGCGTTTAATATTCAAATCATTTATCGTTACATTACGTTTTATTTCGTCAAAAGCTATTAAATTTATAAGTTTAAAAAACAATCTTTTTTAAATAAAACTCACAAGCAATTTAATCTAGTTAAAAAATAAGTATTTAATTTTTTTTTAAACTAAAGTTTTGGATATAAATTTACCTCGTTTTTCTTTTATCACCTTATAAGGTGACAAAAAGACAAAAGTTTCAAGTTAAATTGTTTAAAGTTTACTCGAGTAAATTTCCTAATACAAAATTGATATGTATTTACATTTAAGTCGATATTTATTAATGAATAAATTTGATTTAAAACGAACCGACTGATTTATATAGGGACAAGCGCAAAGATTGTCCATACATCGACTGACTTAAATAGGTACAGGCGCAATGGAGTGTTTATACATCAACTGTGTATTGTTTCATGTACCTCAAAATAATGTTTTCTACTGCAGTGAAGTCTAAGTTATATTCAAAAAAGTTGTAAAGAATACTTAATAATAAAAATGTTTTTTTATGCCGTCTACGGATATATCAACGATTTACTTCGTTAGTAAGATTTAAAAGGTTTCTTTTTAAATCGAACCCACTAGCAATCTAATTCCTTATTTTAAATATTATTACAGTAACCCATGGAAACGACTTGTTACGTATAAAAATAAAAAATTAATCCTCAATAATAACACGTCACAAATATAATTTTTTTTTAACGTTATCTTAGGTTTATTTTTTACTTGCAAGAGTGTAACGAATTTAGACGTAACGTAACGTTAAAAAAATTTATGTTTGAGACGTATTTTAGTTACGCCTCAAATCCAGATTTTGTTACGTTACGTAACGTCTCAACTAATTACTTATTAAAAAGTTTTAAAAAAAAACCAACTAAGACGTAATGTTACGAATTGAGACTTTTTGTTTTTTCGTGACAAAGTAACGAATTGAGACGAAGCTATTTTACAATAAAAATAAAATAAAAGATAGTATTTAGCAATACGGCAATGATGAACAAACATTTACTGCATTTTCAAGTTTATTTACTTAATAGTTGAATAAAAAGTAGAGAATGTAACCTTGTTACCAATTGTAACCGATTGAGACGTAACGTAACTTTAAAATGTTATAGGGGTTATATTATCTTATATATTTCTTATTAACTGGTTATTCGTACATACGCAGCATTCACGCCGCTTTAGTGTTCGATATACCCAAGATGAAAGGTAACTTCTTCATTATTTCTTAGTTTTTATGTTTTTATGTTTTACATGTTTTTAGTGCTTCCATTTTACCATTATCTTTTATTATATGTATACCAATTATATGTTTAGGTAATATAACTAAATAAGTTCAATTGCCTGTTGGTTGTTTATATACCGTTTTTATTTTGGTTATTTGTTACTTTGATTTTGTTTATCAATTGTTTCTACATTTTTTCTGTATTCATTGTGAATTGTTGTCTCGTTATGTTTATTTGTTCGCATCAATTTGTCCTTTTTTCAAATATATTTTCTAAGTTAGGCATTTTTAAGCTCTAATTTTGTCATGTCGTTTACACATTTTCCAAATAACTATTCTAGTTTTTGAGTTTTTTATCCCCCATTTTTTAGCATTATTTAGCGCTTTTAACTTAAGATCACCCGTTTCCATTACTTTTTTATATGTGGCTCAATGCGCTTAAATTCTACCTGCCCCCTCCATTCTGGTCTACTACATACAGAGATCGTCCGTAAAGCACGTACGCTCGGATGCGGTAGAGGGAGTCTGCAAATGACGTAAATAAGGCGATGGGCAGGGGTGAATTATAAAAGTGATAAGAAACTAAATTAAAAAAAACATCATAAAATGTTAGGTAGGTAGATTAAAAGCGTAGGTTTTTTTATTGAGGTGGAGGGTACTAAAGAAACTGTATATCAAAATGCGGGGGAGCAAGATACATCTTAATATTTTCTGAAAAAAAAATTTTTAATGTGATAATGACCTATATATATTTTTTAGATTGTTGTGTATTCCGGGATTTTTCATAATTGTTGTTTAAATTAAAAAAAGATTTAGGAAAAAAATATTTATGCGCAAAAAAAGCAAAAAAGTTTTGTTTTTTTTTGGACAAATTTTGCAGAATTTTTTCCAGTCCAGTTCGAGTCAATGTTTCAAGAGTTTTAAATTTTTGTTTTCTTTTTAGGCTTGATATATATACATATATATATATATATATATATATATATATATATATATATATATATATATATATATATATATATATATATATATATATATATATATATATATATATATATATATATATATATATATATATATATATATATATATATATATATATATATATATATATATATATATATATATATATATATATATATATATATATATATATATACAGAGCCGTAACCACCGTGGGGCCAGGACCCCCCTTAAAAGTTATTAAACCATAATTATTAAGGAAAAACATATATTTTTTAGGGCTTTTTCTCTGTTATGATTAGGACTCTCCTACTCTCTGGGTCCCTAAAATGGGTACCAAAATAAAAAAAAAAAGGTCTTAATTGTGTAATATGGGTCCCCCTAATATGAAAATTGTGGTTACGGTTCTGACACACACACACACACACACACACACACACACACACACACACACACACACATTCAGAGTCGATTGTCGATGCAATAATTACTGATTCTTAAATAGACAACTTTTACTCTTATAAATTGCCTTAAATCCAACAGTTATCATCGTTATGATGTTAACCGGTTTGTAAAATGTTTTGGAAAATAAATTTGAAAATAACATTCAAATAAATTTTTTTGTTTTTCTTGTTTTTTTGATCAACAGGTTTTTTCAAACAATTATATAATTGTACATATGGGTTTGTGAATATTTTCTGAAAAAGAAGGTCTTTTAAACGTTCAAAAGACGTTTTTTTATTGTTTAATTTGGGTTTATTAAGAACGTTTTTTAAGCGTTTTTTTTAAAAGGTTTTTTAAGAGATTTTTTTAAAACATTTTTAGGTATTGCCGTACTGATCTTTTAATAAACGGTTGTTTTTTTTTAGCAAAAAAAAACGTTTTTTAGTTAAAAAAATGCTCATGTGCTTACTGGGATGCCGACAAAGACTTGATTGGAGTTCACTCGATATGAACTCTTCCTTAACTCTTCCTTTACTTTATCCTTTAGACTTCACTTAGATTTTACCTAAACTTAATAGCACTTGTGGGGTCCGAATGAACATCCATGTTAAATTTATTTCCTGGGCAAAGGGGGCTTTACCCATTTTTTTTTCTTAAATATTATATTTTTCTTTAAAGTTGAGGTTTATAACTTTTAAGAAAGAAATATTTTTTGCAAAAAAAAGTTTAAAAAGCCATTTTTTAATTTATTTTTTTAGTATTATTATTTTTGTCGGGTGAAATTATAAAAATTTACCGTAAACCCAGTGAAAAAGAAATGCTTGTCGCACATGGGTTTCTTGTGGTCCCATAAACTCCACACGGAATCCACCAGGAATCCATATGAGAAAAGCGTTTTTTTTCCACTAGGAAGGAACCGGATATATTTGTAGCTAGGCAGCTGCTTTTTGTTTCTCTTATTTAAAAATCTCTTATAGGAAGGTGGGGGGCGGGGGTCGTATGTGTTTTATACCAACTGGTGTTAACAAAAAAATATAGGTCCTTGATAATTGACATTTGCCAACTATACAACAAAGATGCCGAATTAAATCCTGAATGTACAATAAATATGCATATATAACAAACGGGGGTGGACTCAAACGCATATATAACAGACGGGGGTGTGATATGACACCTCATACACCCCCGTTCGGTACGGCCCTCGTCGGCCCTTGTTGTAACAACCGCTCTAACAGAATCTTTTATATTATATCTACCATTCTATAACAAATAAACATTCAAAAGACATTATGCACAAAAAATCGCTAAAAAATCGCGTTTTTAAACCCCGACGGTTTTTATTTATACCGGTTTTGATCAAAAACCGCGGTTTTTGGTTATCGGTTTAAACCGATTGGAAACACTAGTTAATTATTAACAGAATATACTGGAAAGTCTTTTCCTTTTCAAAATTATTCAAGTATAAGAAAAAAAAAAAAGATCAAATTATTAATAAAACATGCAAATACATTCGAATATAAAGTACTTGTATACTCAAATAGAATGGCCTTTTCTTTATATTAAAGGTTTTTATTCCTTAAAAATATAACATATTTTTAATGTTTTCTTTGTTTTAACAAAATATTAACGTATAGGTAGGTAAAAAAAAGTAACTCTCAATAATGTTTCTACTAATTATTTAATATTTTGATAATATATTTGATGAAAATATATTTTAAAAATATAAATCTTGTTATCATTTAGAGAAATTGGCTCTTCGGCGTAAAATTCCAAATTGAAGAGATGTTAAAGGCACCTGTAATAGATGCTGTTTGTTATAGCATGCGCCGGTGGATCCACAAATGCTTTGCGTAATCATATTTTGTGTCATGGATTTACGATCAATAACCCTTCGACTGAAGGATCAGGCAGCAGCTCAAATCCACCACCCGGAAAAAAAAATTAAAACCATCGAAAGTTAATTACAAAAAACGAACCTTTGAGAATTTGTAGCTGATCCAGCTGCAGACCGTGTTTTGATTAAAACAATAACTAACAACAAGTTTATTCGCTCAACGATTCAACAAAGAGGAAATCATTTTCTTAAATCTCTAACATCTATGACGAATTTAATCCATCAAGATTCTTATGATAAAAACTCTCTCAGTGGGCGCAAGAACGTTTTGCGAACGTTTTTTAATGGTCCCGTTAAAACGTTTTTTAATGGTTTTTTAAACGTCCATATGAAACGGTGACCGGACGTTTTTTAAAAGCGTTTTGTGAACGTTTTTTAAGGTTTCGACAAAAAGCGTTTTTTATTAATTTTTTGAACGTCCATATGAAGCGGTGAACGGAGGTTATTCTGAAAACGTTATTTAATGGTTTTAATTACGTCTAAATTAAACGTTTTGTCGTTTTTAACATTTTTCTAACAACTTTTTTTTTAAGCATAAAGGAGGGGAGGCATAATTTTGTGACTATTTGTGACAAGGGGAAAGGGGGTTTAATGAATGTGACGTCACAAACATTAATTTAGCATGACAGTTTAATTTCTACTTGTTCAATCAATCAATTAAAGAAGTGTTTCAGATTGTCAAAAATTTTTCTTACACTTCTTGTGTTATGCGTATCGCTGTATTTTAAATAGTTTTAAATAGCTCAAAAAGTTTCCAAAAACTGCCTTCTTTTTGAAGACATTAGAGCGCAGAGATACAAAATCATTAGATTAAGAATGAATAATTTAAGTTTGGAATTATAAATGGAGGGTTTAAATAAGTGAATAAAATGTTTTAAAAATATTATCTTTTATATTATTTATTTTTGTGAATCTTATGACATATAAACATTAGAGTTTTATATACATTTACATTGAAGCATGAATATATAACTAAATAAATATATGATATATAATAACTAAGTTAAATAGACTTGCTCATGCTTCAAATAGCCAATAGGAAACAAAGATAATTATCAAATAAAAGTGTAAATAGGATAGTAGCTAGTTAGCAGTCAGTATAACTAAGTTAGTAGTATTTTATATAAATGCAATATTTTTAATTTCTCTAAATGAGAGCAAATGTGTTCCAGGTAATTCATGATATAAAGATGGAAAAAGAACAGTCATACGCGTCACTTTATGATGCCTATGTTAAAGCATATCCACAGAAAAGGAAACAAGAATGTCATATATATATATATATATATATATAATATATATATATATATATATATATATATATATATATATATATATATATATATATATATATATATATATATATATATATATATATATATATATATATATCATGTATCCTAGTAAGAGTTATCATAGAACATTTTTTTTTTAAAGTTGATTAAGGTGCCCCAAGAAGTCCTTACGGTCTTATTACAGAGCATCGCGGAAGAGCATTTAATAGCAAGTTCACGCCTCCTTCCCAACCAATGTCGCAAAACTTGCTCAGAGGTGGGGTTTGAACCACGGATTTTACGTTTCTGAGGCAAGTGCAAGAACTAATGAATGTATATTTTACCATTTTCGGCGTTTTTTAAACGTTTTTTGAAGGTCTAAACGTTTTTTAAAGGTCCCGTTATTATTTAAACTAAATCAAAGGAAAAAACCTATTAAAACGTTTTTTGAAGGTTTTACTTTTACAAACGTCCTTTAAGCGACCATTAAACGTTTACAAAACATTTGGAAAAAGTTTTTGTGCCCACTGGGCTTATTTAAAAATATAATTTTATTACATTTTACTACATTTGATAGCATACTTTTTTGTAATTTATTTTCATAATCATATTTTTAATATAATTTTTTTAATTATTCACTTTTATAGGTAAATGTAAATTACAGTTTGAGGAGCTCTTATATTAAGTAAGCAAATTGCTATTACTTTTGCGGTGAACAGACGCGTTTATTTTTGATCGAAGAAAAAATTTTAATTTTGATTTTGATTTTTTTTTTTATTAATTTTTTTATTTTATTTTTATTTTTTATCAACTATTAAATATGGCAGTAACCATTAGTGAAATTCGAAAAATGTTTAAGGAAATGTTTGCAGAGTACAAAAAAGATATAGTATTACTTATAAAACAACAAAAAGAAAATATGCTTAAACTCATCAGTGCGAACGCAAAAATAACGAGCGACCGACAACAAAAAGCTGAAACAAACATTAATTACAGCATGAAAAAAATTAAGCTATCGGAAAAGGATGAACTTGATATAAAGGAAAGTTTAAATTTTCACGAGGAAATCATCGAAAAAAAGGTCAAAAATAATATTGAGTATATTGAAAAAAAAAGTGTTTCTCAAAACGAAGCACATAAAAGCGATGAGTTTATTGACTTAAAAAAAAAAATTAGACAAATTGAGGATCGGTCACGAAGAAATAACCTTAGGATTGATGGCATCAAAGAAAATGAAACGTGGTCTGAAAGTGAAATAAAAGTGATTAAACTTTTTGAGGAGTCTTTAGGAGTGGAAAATGTGAGAATTGAACGAGCGCATCGCAGTGGACGCCGAGACGCAAAAATATCACGCACAATTATTATTAAGCTGTTAGATTACAAAGATAAGGTAGAAATTTTAAAAAAGTCTTCTAAATTAAAGGGTAAAAATATCTACATAAACGAAGATTTTTGCTTCGAAACGAACTTAATTAGAAAAGATCTTAGAGAAAAAATGAAAATTGAGCGGCAACTGGGTAAATTTGCACTTATATCATACGATAAGCTGGTTGTACGCGAATAGGTGTCTAAGAAAACAGAAGAAATCCCGAATCGGTGTCAAAATGTTAAGGGTTAGGGTTTATTAGTATGTTTTTAACTATCGATAAATATTTTATTAACTATTTTACGTTTATCTATATAGGCTTTACTTTAAAATAGAGGAAAACTTTATAATTAAATTTTTAGATGAAAATGTCGTACTAAGTGACGTCGATGACACTAATAATTTTAATCATAAAATATCTGAAAGCCAATACTATACAGTTATTGAATCTTCTCAATATCTTCAAAAAAATAAAAATAGTTTTCAATTTTAAACATTAATATTCGAAGTTTAAATAAAAATTTTGAAAATCTTAAATTTTTATTGGATGAATTAAAACACAATTTTAAAATTGTTTGTCTTACGGAAACTTAGTGTAAATGTTGTGAAACAAATGCGTAATTTGAACAAATTAATTACAAATCAATTCATTAACCACGTCATTTTGGTATTGGTGGGGGCGTAAGTATTTTTATCCACAACTCAATTAATTATAATTTACGTAATGATCTCTGTGTGAATGAAATAGATTGTGAGTCATTATGCATTGAATTAATAAATAAAACCACAAAAAAAGTAATTATAAATACCAAATATAGACCTCCATCTACTAGCTTAAAAAAATTTCAAACTCATCCTAAACCATTCTTAACAAGTATAAATAAAACCCGAAGTCATGCCTACTTAGTTGGGGATTTTAAAATTGACCTAAAAAACCATGCTTCCAATAATAATGTTAACAATTTTGTAAACACTCTTCTTCAAAATAATTTAATTCCGACAATAAACAAACCAACGAGAGTGACTAACAACTCTTCTACGCTTCTTGATAATATAATAACTAATAACTATCATAATAACCATCTTTACACAGGCATAATCAAAACTGACTTATCGGATTATTTCCCAACATTCCTAGTTACTAACAATATATTATTTAACGGTGTTCCTTCTCAATCCATTACTTTTAGGCGACAGATCAATTAAAACTCGGTAAAACAACTACAAAATATTTTATGAGACAACGTTGATTGGGATCTGGTATTGCAGTCACATGACGTTAACGACGCATATGATCTATTTTTAAATCAATTCTGTAAGCAATATGATCAAGCATTTCCTGAAAAAAAAATTATTTTAAAAACCAAAACTGTTTTAACTTCATGGATGTCTAACGGGTTAATAAAATCTTCAATAAGAAAACAAAAGTTATATGATAAGTACTTGAAAAAAAAAAAACTTATAAAAACGAAATGAAATATAAAAGTTATAAAAATATATTTGAAAAAACAGAAAAGAACTCAAAAAAGCTTTATTATGCAAAACTAACTAAGTAAAGCCACCGGAAACGCTAAAAAAACATGGAGTGTAATTAAAGAAATAATCGGAAAAAATAATTATCCAAGAAACATTCTTCCAAAAAAAAATAACAATTGATAAAAACACAATTTATGATAAATCAATTATTGCTGAAAAACTAAACAGCTTCTTTACTAATGCTGGTCCAAATTTGGCATTAAAAATTCCCATTAATTCAACACCATTTGAATTTTTTTAAAAAATAACGATAAAGTTATGGATGAACCTAAGTTAAAACTAATTGAATTGCAAACCGCCTTTTTTTACCTTAAAACTAACAAAAGTGCTGGATTTGATAAAATTGTTCAATGTTGATAAAACGTCAATGTTGTAAAGTCAGTATATAATATAATAGAACCCTCGTTATTTCACATACTTAATCTATCATTTAAAACAGGTATTGTCACTGAAAAAGTAAATTAAGTCCGGAGATGACTCATATATTTCTAATTATAGGCCTATATCTATTTATCTTGTTTTTCAAAATTACTTGAGAGAATAATGCACAATAGGCTCTTTAATCACTTATCAGAAAACGACATGTTGTTTTCAAAACAATTTGGTTTCAAAAAAAAAATGAAACTGAACATGCAGTGGTTGAACTAGTAAATTAAATATCAAATGCATTCAGTAGTAACTACTTTACCTTAGGAGTTTTCATTGATCTGTCAAAAGCTTTCCATACCGTTAATCATAACATACTAATAAAAAAACTTGAACACTATGGAGGAAGAAATAACAATTTTTTTGGTTCAAAAGTTATTTGACCGATAGAAAACAATTTATAGTGTATGAACAAAAGCAAACATTGCTGTCTGCTATAACTTGTGGGGTTCCCCAGGCCTCTATTTTAAGACCTCTGTTGTTCCTAGTGTACATTAATGATTTAAATTTAGCAACAGACCTATTAAATTGTATTCTTTTTGCAGATGATTCCAATCTTTTTTATTCCCACAGAGACATCAATACACTATTTAAAACAACAAACGAACAATTATCGAAAGTTAATGAGTGGTTTAAAAGTAATAAACTTTAAATAACAAAAAATATTCCTATTAAATTGCCTAATTTAATAATCAATAACACTAACATTAAAAGAGAAAACTCAGTAAACTTTCTAGGCGTAATCTTAGATGAACATTTACATTGGAATTTACACATAAAAGTATTGAAAATAAAATATCAAAAAATTTAGCAATGATATATAGGACTAAACTATTTCTAAACAATAGTTCTTTAAAAAGTGTATATTTCTCTTTCATTCATTGTTACTTAAGTTATTACAATATTGCATGTGCAAGTACAAACCATACAAAATTAAAAAAATTGTACTGCAAACAAAAACACGCGTGCAGAACAATATTTGGAGCTGACAGAACTGTACCTTGTGAGGCTCCTCTGCGTCTACTTGGAGCACTAAATATATATAAAATCAACTTTTAATGTTCATGTATAAAATATATATAT